ACCCTTCATTGCAGAAATGACATTTGAAATTTGAGAATCGCTAGGGAACTAATTTATAATACATTGTGCATCTGCTTCAACTTCACCACTGAATCTTTGGACTTTGATGTGCTGTTAGTTTAATAAAATATTAAAACTAATGATTTCTTATATATTACTTCAATCACGCCCCCCCCTCTGAAAATAACGATACTATTGTGGTCGTTTTTTATGTTTAGCTGTCAATGCAGTAATCAACTGACGAAGCTCTGATTCAGCTGGTTTGTCAAATTGATTAGGATATCTTCGAATAAGTTATTCCCTCATCTAATCTGGACCCAAGTTTAATTTAATCGTTACACTTAAACCATCACATTCACAACCACATCTAGGACATTTCAAGCATATTTCATTGCTATATCGTTATACTTACAGTTAAAAGTTAACTTCTCCATGTTGGCTCTCATGGTATTGGATCAGGTCACGAGTCTGGACAAGCAACCTAGACCTCGAAAATAGTATCAAACTTCTTCTTTTTATCTAATCAAAACAACCCAAACTTTTCGTAATGACTCATTTTTTTGAACAACATCAAGATGCAGAGCTAGTTCGTGTCGCAAGTGTTAATATACCAGCCCACAATGCAATACATAAACAAGTTAAGCGGAAATATACAGGAAATAGAGTTGAAAAGCGTCACCTGCTTATGCTATACCGAAGTCTTATCCACTCCATCCTGGATTATGCACTTCCAATGATCGATATGAGCGCTACAAAGCTAGATAAGATTGAAAACCACCACTAAAGTCCACAAGCCTCAGCAGCATCACAGAACACCAGCAATGCTCACACGCAAAATTATTTATTAAGGTCTTGCATTGTGAAAACTATGCATTCTATCATCGAGTCGCCGCCCTTTCAAATTGGGACATTCCAACTTCACCAAGACTCCACAGACACCAACCAAGCAGGAGACAGTCTTGGGTGTGTAGGTGCTATACAGCCACCACTGAAATAATTCATCACCACCCGATCTCAGGTTTCCTCATGTAGAATACACATCTGATACCATTGGGATCTGTATAAATCCGCCAAAACAGAAAACACAGAGATTGGTTGCGCAACATCTCTTAAATATCATAGTGAACTATCACCTGCTATCACAGCCACAAACGGTTACTATAGCAAAGATAGTGAGAGAACTGATTGGCCATTCACTATGTCATGGAGCAACAACATTCTGCTGATGAGGCATTCAAACTTTCCACAAGCTGCACAATGATGGAGTTAGAAGCCATAAAGCAAGCTCTTCTGTGGATTGCTGAAAGCAGTGAACTGCAAATAGACACTGCTACCAACACAATATTTGCAACTGACTTTCAAGCAGCACTGAATAAAATTCACAACTGTTGATTCCCAGATGGATAGCATGTAGGAAAGCAACTGTCTGGTAAAATCATCACTTGGATGTATGTTCCAGGTAATGCAGGAGTAAAGCTAAATGACGACGTTAAAAAACTCGCATGAGAAACCAAATTCAGCACAACTCTGCTTGCAAGATATCGTCCTCCTCTTCAGTAGTAAGGTAAAGGTGACAACTATAGAAGGTCTTCATTGAGAATCGGAGGGAATGAGACTGCTCGAAAAGTACCGTATGGTATAGTTAAGAAAAGCAAAAGATGGCCAGTCAATAAGACAGTAGCAGCCAGAAGAACACTGGTAACATCAGTAAAGGAACTCTTCTCTACCCCCTTCGAAGCAGCTGGTCTCCACATGAGGGGTCAGCACCTAGAGGGTGCAACCCCTGAGATAGTCGCCTAGTGCTAAACTCATCAGGGTAAAATGTTATACGAAAAAGTACTACCTCTATAAATATTAAGTCTAATTTAAAATATAGATCATCAATTTTATAACATTTAAAACAAAATTTCATATTCTTTTAAAACGCCCAAGAATGAGCTCAAACAAGAAAACAAGAAAAGATCTGTGCATTGGACAATACCAATGAAGTTTGGGATGGTTGGTTGTTGTTCAGCACAAAGCTACACAATGTACTATTTGTGCTCTACACACCACGGGTATTGAAATTCAATTTTTAGCGTCGTAAGTCTGCAGACTTACCGCTGAGCTACTGGCAGGGGGGCAAATGGAGTCTTGATGATTATGAAAAAAAAAGTCCTAACTCATGCTTCATAATGTTATGTAATGTGCGCATGAACATTCAACGACTCCTCTTGTGCTCCGAGATATTATATTACAGATAAGTTGAATATCATTTTTGTTTTCATTTTAAACATACAATAGCATAATATAATGACCACAACCAGTTCCAATATTGTATTTTATATCTATGACAAAACTACTAAGGCTATCTAACGTTGTCTTTACTGACCAGAAGGAAAACAGACAAACGGCAGTACCCTATCACCCACCAACCACTGTAAGAGATTGATTAGCACTCTTAGAGCGCAACGACAGTTTAAAGTGCCAGAAATATGTTGTGGTATCGAACGGATTGGATGAACGTTGTTTTCAATTATTTATTATAAAATTAAACACAAGTGCCGGTAGTGCGCATACTAGATTTAACTTTTTCCACCATAACCATAATCGAACAATGGATGATAAAAAGTTAAGATTATGAGGTACTAGAATTCCTTTAAAGTGCGAGAATTATCGTAAAAATGAAGAAAGAAATTGTATTTAGAAATAGATTTACTAAGTATGAGAAGACCCGGCTCGTCCTTTCAGCCGTGGAGTCGTTATAATGTTACGGTCAATCCCACTATTCGTTGGTAAAAGAGTAGCC